CTCAAGGTTGGTTTAGCCTTCCCTTGAATAATTGTATTATCTAGCCTTAACAAAAAAATAAAACAATCAGACAAACAAACAAACAAACAAAAAAACCCCAAAAAAACCCAAAAAAGCAAAAAAAAAAAATGGGCTTAAATATATCCTTTTCTAATCTAAAATCAAGATTAGCTTATTGAATCTACATATATGGAAAATCCAGATATAAGTCAGAGTAATCACTGTGAAAGTATTTTACTGAAAGAAAGAGGCACCCAAAAGACAAAGCAAAGTTTTTAATACTTTACTGTTAACAAGCCAAAACATTCTATTGATCTTCTCTATGACATTTCTATTGCTGCATTATTTTGTTTGTATATTCTTTGAAACATGCATATTCTAAAAGAATAAAACTATTTCCATACATAAGTTTAACAGCCTCAGCCTGGGATCAGAGTGCAGAACTTTAGGTTTCTAGCACTTCACTGAATAAGCATGGAAGGTGTTTCATGGGATTCTTCCTTTTCCCAGCATTTCTCTGCTGAGTGTCCAGCATTTAAAGATGGGGAAAAGCAAAGAAAAAGAGCCAGTTTCTATGCTCTGGAAAGGATCACATCAGCTAGAAAATTATAAAAAACTATGTTACTTTATCTCTTCAGCCCTTTATATCAAGGATTGTGAAATATTTTGTCCAAATTTGGCAATTTTTGAAAAAGGAATAAAGAATGCAGTCTTGACACCTTAGGTTCATTTTTGCACTGAAACCTGGGGTCAGATCCTTAGTGAATAAACTTTTTAATGTGAACAATGAGGCATATCTGTTTCAAGCCAAAATACCAAATAAAAACAAAAAAAACCCACCCATTTTTTATCCATTCTTGCCCCTCCAAATACAGCTTAAATGGAAAGTTGGAATGCAAAATATCAGTGTGTATGAATAAAGTGGTTGTTTTCAAACCCTCTTATTATCAAGTCAGTCAACTCCCCCTAAGAATGACATTCATAAATTGTCAGTGTGTCTTGGAATTGGTGATGACTGCAAATTAACTTACTTTATAAAGCAAACCATTTAAAAGGACAGTTTCAGAGACTAGGCTGGGCAAACCTTCAGATCTGAACAGTTAAACAGATAGTCCTGCCTGTTCAGAATGCAAGATTTATTTGTTCTTTTTCCTTATTAGTTTTGTGACTTTTTTTTTTTTTTATTTGGTGCACAATGAAAGATGCATATTAGCCACTAAAAACGAAGAGAGCAACAGCAAGTAGGGTAGGATCTTCCTGGGATTTTAATTTCACAAATGTGATTTAATTTCTTCTTTAATATTACTTCTTTTTAAAAGATCATTACAATATATAAAAAATTTGGAAACCTTTCTCTTCCATATACCAAAAGGAAACAGTAGTAAGGGCTCTGACTTTTGAGTTAGTCATGCAGAGATGTGTCTCCTTAGAGGTCCAAGGACTTTGAGTAAGGTTCCAGTTGGTGTTTGTTTCTTCAGAGGTGTGCTTCAGCCCCTCAGTGGGAAGTGGCCCTGGCAATGGGCTTTTTTGAGGGAGTGCCTTGTGAAAAGGGAAGTCTCCTGAATCAATTTCTCATTGTAGTCCTAAATCAAGACATTCTCCAGTGCTGATCTGACCTCCTTCTCAGGCAAAACTATGCATAGGTACCCAGGGTTTAACAAGCACTAAAACTAAGGTAAGTTTTGGAAAAAAGAGTATAAATGGTCCTCCTCTTTTGACTCTACATCTACCAAGAGATTTAAACTTTATTTGACCTATATTGCTTATTTCATCATTCATTGATCAATTTCTACATTTTCTACAATTAAAAATGGGATGGGGGGGGGGGAGTGTTGAAAAGTATGACCTGACAATCTTAAATGAAGTCTAAGTTTTAGGTAGTCAGACAAACAGTCCCAGTTATTCCCTTCATCTAAGACTGTGCACTAGAACAGTGAATAAAACATTTTATTGTTTAATGGTTGAATATACTTTCCAAATTTGGCATAATATAGTTTTCAAGACCCCCCTGAAATTGTCTTTTTTGACAATTTTATTATCTATTTTTCAAAGAAAATATATACACACAAAAACTATTTCTTAAAAAATATAGGATGATGTATTAATCAGCCCCAGAAACTTTTTTAAAAATAGCTTTATTCAAACACATGTATAGTGTGGATTTAAAATCAAATAGTTTAATTTCCTGCCACTTGAACTAACAGCTCTTAAGTTTTGTGAAACTTGCTTTAGCTATTTTCATTTTCTTTCTCTGTCTACTTCCCAAATTCACCAGGTGGGCATTGCACAAACAACCTCTGCAGCTGCAGTGGTGGATGGGCTGGCAGCTCCAGTCAGTTCTCTTTCTCTTACTCCAACAACCCACTATTGTAAAACAGACATTGCTGGGCACCAACCAACAGGTATTAGCTGTACTTGAAGCTCAGAAGTGAAAGAAAGGGGATAAATAAATGAAAAAGAAGTTATAAAATATGTATAGTATTTTTTAAAATTATTTTTTTAAAATGTCCATTTTTGACAGGAACTTGCTTGGAAATAATTTGTGTTTTTTTGTTTCTGCTTTTGTTTTTTGTTTTTTTTTGCATTATGGCTATTTTTTAGATGATTTGGATTATTGAGATAATTTCTATCCTACTAGATTAACTGGAGTGTTTGCAAGTATATTTGGCTAGTATGCACTTTTTCAGAGACAAAAGAGCTAAAGAGTCTTATTAGAAAAAAAAATTGTCAGGCAATGAATTTTATTTTGCACATCATCGACTGAATTTCAGCACCATATGCTAACTCAAACCTCTTTGTAGCACAGAATGAAGAATGCAAAGTCCTGTCTGCATATGTCTGAGAAGAAATGTTCTGTCTTTCAGCTCATCTATGTTGGCATAAATGAAACTACATGTTCTTTGACAAGTTGTGAATCAAAAGCTTTTTATGTATGGACAGGTTTTGTTCCCTCCTGGTCACTTTGGGTGTAATTATGCTGCAGTGCTTTCACTTTACTGTGGGTTTGTGGACTAATTAATTGTATATAAACATAATAAATACCTTGTGAGGTCAGCCCAGCTGTTCTTCTGCTGTTCTGCCTGCAGCAGCGAGAACAGGAGATGTTAGAAGTAATCCACAACTCTGGTCACCTCCTGCAGCCCATTCCCTAAGTGTTCCCCCAGCACCTACAGCTGCTGATTTAGGGATGTGTGCATCCATCTTTAACACTTTTTGGTAGCTTTCCATGGTAATATTTGCAGCCTGCTCACACTGTCCACCATCGCAGCATCGGTGGGAGAAGCTGCACGTGTTCACTGCACACTGAGTGGAGAAGTGCCCCTCAGTCCTGCACAAAAGGTACTCCTAGGAGCAACTCACCCTGGGGAAACAGCACTGGTCTCACCTGAAATATCTTTCTTTGATTCAGGTTGGTTGGCTTATTTCTAAGCTTGTTTAGACTTCCTTTAAAAACCTTCCTTGTCTACCTCTCTGTGTCCTCTCGCCAACTAAATACATTTATATTAACACACAAATTATATCTATTTTTGGTTCTAACACCAAAAGTTGTTACTGTAAGATTTATTTTGTTCCTTTTCCTGTTCCACATCCCGTTTTGACTTGTATTTTCAAAAAAAATCATGTTAATAATTAGCCACAAGTATTTCATCTGCTTAGTGCTTTCCATCCTCATTTTTCCCTTTCTGCTAATTTAAATAAAGTACTTATATATTTCTAGGACTGGTTTTGATAGCTCCATTCCATGGAAAAGGATGAGCTGCTACGTGTTGAATACTAAACCATCAACATTTCCTTGTTTTTATTTTATGTTTTCCCTGACTCTTTCCTCTTGCCACACACCACATGTGTTCTAGGAGCACAGCTCACCCCTTTCCCCTCCAGACAACCAGAACTGCCTTCTTACCTGGGCACAGCAAGCTGGAGAATTAACTCTTTTTTTGGCTGGCCATGTGCAGTGTGACTTGAGTACTTTAGCTGCTGCTGGTGCTACTGCTGAGATCACTCCAGAATGGCCCAGATGGGGAAACCTCTGCCTTACAGATTTCTGATATGATTTTTCACAGCACTTCATAAATAAGGGCAGCATTCCTTAAGTGGTCTTTTTTCACTGCATTGTGATAAAATAGCATTATAAATTAATCTGTATATGGATGTAATTTTAAGTGTACCTGTGTTTCTTTTTTCCAGAAAACCTCGTTGCAGATTTTTTTGATGTGCTGAACATTCACACATTTTCCTCTACCCTGACCAGTGCCACTTATTAGCCAATGTATTGTGAATCTTTTGGCATAGCTCCAGGTGCTGATCCCTGAATACAATATTTCTGAAAATTTAAAAGTGAAAACAATCAGAGCCAAGAGAAATCAGTTAGTGAGTGAAAGCCTCTGAAGGCATATGAACATGGAAGATATCAAATATTCTTTCATATTTAAGCAACCTCTGAATGAGACCCTTCAGAGAAATGCTGCCTTGCTGAAACCAACTTTGATCAGTCTGAATCTGTTCGCTCACCATATTCCAAGTTTAGAAAACACCTGAAATTCTCTTGCTGATACTTTTTTAAATAGCAGGATTGATCTCTTCTTATGGTCCATATCCTCCTACACCAGGTAACACAAGTCACAGTCTAGGAATGATGGTTCTCTCTGACCACAAGAGGCCAAGTAACACACACAAATAGAGTTAACTTATATCTAGTCATGGTTATGTCAGGTGGGCCCTACCTAAACCACTTGCAGTGTCAGTAGTGTCGTATCCGTGGTGCTGGCTTGCAATTGGAGCTGTGCTGTCACTCGAAACCAGTGCTCCATGGCACACGTTCTCTCTGGCCTGACACCCAGTTAAAGAGTGGGCTCAAATACAAACATCCTGGGAACAGCAGGCACCAGTCAACAAGTCCTGTCAAACTTATGTCATTTCATATTTACTTTTTGTACTTTACACACCTTTTAAGCATCTAGGTAACACTTTTCTAATATTTCACAGGTGAAAAATGAAAACGTGATGTTCTAACTACTTTCTCAAGCAAACTTGGAATTAAAGAATCTCTTTCCTCAGACCTGTGGCCCAAAACTTTTGCTATGGCATGTGTTACACCCATTTCTGTCCTGCTGATATTAAGCTTTTTCCAGTGTAAGACACTATTTTCCACAATCCTGGCAAGTGGACAAGAAGACATAAAGGGTAAGTAAAGTATTAACAGTTCATCCTATGCTAACCATCCCAGATGTTTAATCTGAACTTGCCAAGGCACTTTCAACAGCCCGTAGAGAGAAACAGAGACCTGAAGTAAGAGAAGTGTCCAAGACATGCAAAAATCAATCCATTAATTTTGAGAGCTGCAAAGAGCAGCATGATTTCCACTGCTGAAAGTCATATTCGACAAAGCTCTGAAATTCCTGCTGCAAGCAAGAACCAAGGTCCTGGTAGAGCTACTGGGCATGCAAGCCTTGCTGAGAGACAATTTCTTTGTGTACACAGTGGAGGATCCTCTCTCTATGTAATATCAATTTAATTGCAGATGCACTTAGACTACATAATATTCTGTGGGCCACCAAGAATGATTCAAGAGTTATTTTGTCTTGGAGCAATAACCTGACAAAAGAAGAAACCAGGAAATACACTGTGAAGTATATTTTGATTTATAAGTTCTTCAATACCACTAAAGAAAAAAAAGTAAGTTCTTTGGAGGTTGCACAAAGTGTAAAATAAAATAATATATCATTCAATAGACGAGCTTGCATAATTTCCCTTTCAATACTTACCTTCATGGAATTTCTTCTTTCACCTCTTAGGAAAGATTGGAGGAGAAGGAAAAGATAATACATCTTAAATTACATTCTGGTTTTAATGCAAAGGTTAAGACACAACTTTTTGCAAAAGAAACAGAAGACATAATTAAGGAGAGTGACTGGACAGAATTTACTTACAAGGCACCTGCAGGTCAGTTATTTCCAACTTGTTTTTAGGACGTCCAAGCGTTTACGACAATGACCTGCTTTACGTGGAGAATTTCTGAAATGTCATTCTCTGCAATCCCAATGTTCTGCTACTTTGTTTTTTTCAGATATGTTAAGAATATGTTTCATAATACCTTGAGGTACTGCAGAATTATTTCCTTTGTTAGATGTGCTCAGATTCAGAAAACTCCAGCTCTGCTGAGCAAGATGTCAGTATGACCCAAACAGTCGTTTCATTTTCCCTAGCAACTCGTGTCACATGAAGATTGCCTTTAGTATCACATGATTTTAGCAATTCTTAAAAGATCAGAGATTTTAATTTATTTTTAAGTGAGTTAGTAAGGCTTTTGTATTAGTAGCAGATGTGTTTCCCACTTTTCACTTTCTAAAAAGCAAAAAGACCTATTTTTTCTCACATAGTACTTTTTCATGCTTCTATAAATAAGCCAATATAGTGGGTCTGTAAAGGCAACCATTATGTTGATATTAGGAAATCAGTGTAAAATAAACACAACTCTTTACCATTTCTTTTTTGCAGTCTACATTCAGAATCTTTCGTGCATCATATATAACATTTCTTTTTTCAATTGCACCTGGAACATCAAAGCAGAAGCTCCTGAAGATATCCAGATCTTTACCTCATACAGGTGAGGATGTTAAGCAAAATAAGTATGAAACCATGATTTTGGACCTAAGTCTTCGATTTAAAAAAATTATATCTCTTTCTCACAGACATGTAGGAAAAGTTTTTGCATGCCAGAAATATATAAAAAATGCAAGGAAGAAAAATATTGGCTGCAATATGAGAGAAATACATTTTCAACCATCAAGGAAAATAAATTTAAATATAACTGTCAGAAATTTGAAAAATGGTTCAAGAGGACTGTCTTATTACAAAGCTTTCACACCTCAGACAATAGAAAGATTAAACAAAATGGATTAAGGCTGAAGGTTTTTTAATTTTTTGTCTGATTAAATAACCTTGTTTATCTATAATTTTAATTAAAAGAAAAAGCTAATGTGAGAAAAAAATATTTTAAGCATTATACTCGTTTCTCAATTTTTTTTTCTTCTATCCTTTTTTATAGTGCTGAGCAAGTGTGATTAAGAAAAAGAGCATAAATAGTCACAAATCTCATTTATAACTTGAATTTAAGAATATGGATGTTCTCAAACATTAGTAGCATTTTTATTTATTTTTAAGTTAAAAATATCTTGGCAGTTATTTTTAATTATCAACAATTTTGAATGATCATATAAAATTGCTTTTTCTAACTTCTCTGGGAAGTTTGAATTAATCTCATGGGTAAGAAATTCACCTGAATTTTAGCAAAGATTGCAGATTCAAATGCCTTTTAAGTCATTAACATGTTGATTGTCTTTCAGACATGAAACCTGGGAATCAGTCATAGCTCAAGGGATAGCAAAAATATAATTCAAAACTCTAAAACTTTATTCTGAGTTAGATCTCATCTAACCTTTACTAAGACAATAGAATTGTTTGCTTTACCTAAAGCTTTACTCCGCACTCAGAGTCTGCTATAATCTGACATATGACAAAAGAGATTGCTGCCTATTCTTGACATCCTAACAGAAGGGGGAATGCTCTGGCAGCAGTATTTCAGAGACTAAAAAAAAAAACCCCTGCTTCTCACTCTTCTCACTGCTTGTGACTCTTCGTGGCTCATGGAGTGCCCCCACCCTCAAAGGCTGCATGGAGCAGTGGTGCTGGCTTCTCTCACTGGCACCACACTGCAGCCGTGTCATCGCCAGACCTCGCTGACCCTGCCTGCAGAAACTTGCCATGCACTTCTGCCTTTGCTGGGAGGGCTTTTTCAGAAAACTCCAGCTGGAGTTCTTCCCTTCACAGAAATGCAGCAGCAGCTGAGAAGGACTGAGGATGCCTGAGTACTGAGCACACAATTAGGATAAGTCCCCTAACACTTACCATGCTAAAAAATATCTGTAGACTTGCTTATATGAATCCAAGGCTGAAATCCTGGGGACCCAAATGTCCCTCGCTTCCAGTCCTGTACTTCCTCCATAGCAAATGCCCACTTGTCCCTTTATAGGAAGAGAGAGAGATTTTTTAAGCATCTGCAGAAATCTTCTTCTATTGAATCAGACAAATTCCCTGGGAAACAGGTTGTTGTGAGAAATTGTGGATGCCCCACCGCTCGAAGTGTCCAAGGACAGGTTCAATGGAGATTTGAGCGACCTGATCTAGTGGCAGGTGGCCCTGCCCATGGCAGGGGATTTGGAACTAGATGGTCCTTAAGATCTCTTCCAACCCAAAACCTTCTAAGATTCTATGAAGACTTTCTAAGTCCTCTTTCTGTAACCCCTCTGTGAGAGATTAAATTCCATTATTTTAAAGTAATAATACCAGGCCTGTGGGTAGACAAAACACATGTATCCTACATGACACGGAGCCAGACTCAAGGTCTCCTCAACACCAACACAGATGCTGGAGAAGGCCTTCTTCTCCTGCACACTCTTTCTGCCTTTCCTAGAAACATATGTGAAAAACCCCAACTATGTCCCTTTATTTTGAGATACTTACTGAACAGCAACTTCAAAAAAAAATATGTCGCTCACTAGAATGTCCCCTTTGGGTGTGGCAAACTGCAAAACACTCAGCTGTGTATTTTAAGGACAAATGCAGTTTCATTTATTTTACATCAGTTTAAATATGAGGAAGAGCATGAGGTACAGAAGGTCTCTCTGTGTTCCTTATTTTTCAGAGAAACTGAACCCACCAATCAACATCTCAGTTTCCCTTGAAAACAGAAGTATTAAAATTCACTGGAAACCTCCACCTACTATTGGTTCAGCAAGGAAAAAGTGTTTTTTGTACCAAGTGAAAATAACAGATCATAAGGTAATCAGTTTCCCTGGTTAGTCCGTATAACGTAACTTCTATAAAAACAAGGCATTCCTCAAATTTAACAGATTTTAATCGCAAAGAAACTTTAAAGAAATCCCATTGTCTTTAATGAATAATCCAACTTGTCTTTCTGGTAAAAATAAAAAATCAATACATTTTATGAAATCTTTCATAGTCAGGCTTGCATTGAAGTGAATTAGAAGTTTTTGTCTTCTATATTAAATTTTAATCGTACATTAGTATCACATAGACCGTATTGTCTTTTTTGTTATAGAAAAAGAAGTATTGTCTGAAAACTAGGAAAGATTGTCAAGTACCATCAGGAAAAAAAATTAGAATTTGAAATTTTGGCTAAGTCTGAAATCAACAAGGTGAATCTCAGTAATAAGGAAAATCCTATGATTAGCGAATACAGGTCAAATATGTCAACACAAAATAAGGAATTAAAATGTAGACGTCAACACAGAAGAAAAAAAGATCTGTGGATTACTTTGAACCACAAACTGAATCAACCATTCTGTGTTCTTAGGCAAAGGTCAAATGTTATTTAAGTACATATGATAAGCATATCACATGTAAGATGCAGGTTGTCACTAATTTGCCCATCTAGATGCTGAGTTTCACCTAAAGTTTCATACTGTGCTTTGAGCACCACAAAATATTAATAGATCCCAGAACTTGAAAAGTCCTGAAAGGAAGAGAAAAAAGCATCATGGTGCATAGGGTCAAATCCACACCTTGTCAGTCAGTATGAGGAGAACAGATAATACTTACCCAACACCAAGGAAGCAGATATTACATGCTTTTCCATGGAAGAGATTCATACTTTCTACTTTGCAGCCTTCTAACATCACTTTTTCTACAAGCAAGGGTTTTCTCCTTTTTTTTTTTTTTTTTTAACTATGTCTTAAATTTTTAAGATTGTTTATTTACAGAACTTTGCTTCAGTATTTAAAAGTGGTGAATGATTTAGAGATCCCTCTGCTTTAAACTCCACATTTGAGTTTGATCTTTTGAAGTGACGTGCTTTTTTTAATAGGCACAATTAAAGATGTTTCAGGATGGTCACAAAAATAGTGGACATCCTTCAGATGAAAAATGCAAGATTTTATTCTACCACAGAAGCAAGTGTAGCACACTACCCACACCAAAATCTTGAAACTTGCAGTTCTGCAGTTACTATGTTTGTCCTATATGTAGTGTGATAAAAAATTATAGGAGAATCAGTGCTTTCTAATTCCTAATGTCCTGCCATACCTCCTTCCATCTTATCAGTTCCAGTCTCTCTTTATGTTCAGTTCTGAGTTTTAACACAGATCAGATGAGAGTTAAATTGTACATGGACATAAGAACTTGTTCTGAAAATCTGTTCCTACTACTATGTAAATAATAGTATTTGAGTAGTAGTCCCTAGTTTATATCTGTTTGAACTGCAATGCAAAAATATTTTAAAATAATCCCCTAAACCTCTCTTGATAGATTGTAAATGTCACTGCAGAGAACTATAAGTATTCATTTCACAAGCCAGAAAAAAAATGTGCGGCGCAAGTGAGGGTAAAGAAAGAGATTTGCATTGCAAACAAGATCTGGAGTGAATGGAGTGAACCAGTATTTATTCATGATGGTAAGTTATGTACTTACTACTCATAACTGTTATCATGGGTTTTGTAATTAGCATTCAATATATTTACTTCATTATTGCCTCTCTTCCTCTCCAGGGTGTTATTGGATCCTAACTGTCCCTAGGGGTCCATGGCACACACCAGGCTCACACAGCTCTGCTGTAGGCGAGTCCTTAGGCTGAGCTCTGCTTCCCTGGTCTTTACAGAGCTGCTGTCCTGAGCTAAGTTACACCTGACTCTTGACAGCCTTTAGGAAATAATAATGGTCAGCAGCTGACAAGGTCCTAACACCACCATCCCTCCCCTGCTGCCTTGCCCTGCAAAGGACAGCCCACACATCTCTAAAAATACTTTCAAATTGAGTTAGTAAGCCAAGAAATCCACAAAAGCCATAACATTCTTCAAACCACATAGTCTTTAAAGACTAAGTCCAAAATGTCCCTTATTATACTGGTGGAATTATTTCTTATCTGACAGAGATAGGAAATGGTTTAGCTCTGTTGGGGGTTAGACAGCTCTTATTTAAATATATGTGCTCTGGCACTTCCTTCAACCTCTACAAAGAGAACACCTAACATCGGTGTGCTTACACAGGAATCTTGTGCTTTCCGTGATGAGAAAAATGCCTCCACATGCAGAAGCTTCCTGACATCAGGTTAGGGAGAAGTACAATAGTGTGATGCTGTATTTATAGAGAGAAAATTATGTCTGCGTGTTGACATGCAAATAAGCACAGTACTATGGGTAGTAAAACAAAACAAGATAAGTATCATTATTTAATGCAACAGACTGTATTTTGGAATATGCCTTTCTGATCTTTGAGCTTCAAATACATATTTATCTGAGGACAGGAAATGCCAGGTGAGACATTATAATTTTTGAAATGGATTGAATGTATATTCAGTTATAGAATTTACTGGATACTGGCTGCCTACTCTATCAGATGCCTCCTTGTATCCCACTGGTCTGCTGAAACCTTTTTTCTCTTAAATTTATTAATTTAATTTCAAAAGCATTCCACTTGTGAAATATCTGGGGAGAGAAACCTAATTGCCTTTCATGTTCTTTGTGGTGAAGGAGATAATTTTCAAGCCATAAGAGTCTTGAATTCCTCTTTAGAGGAATTCCTCTGTCTTCTCACTGAAGACAGAGTCTAGGACTGCTGCATGTCCTAGGAGGGGTCTGCCAGCTCTGTCTGCCTGACATCAGGCCAGACACATCTGGTGTGTAGATAGGGGACATCAGAAGAGGTCCTCTGGGTGGAGGCATGTAGATTTACTTGCTCCCTGCTAACCTTGCACCTGAAGAAGGAAATGGAGTTGAGCAGTCACTCATTCTGGTTCTGGCCTACTAAACCTTGCTCTCAGCATCTGCCAGTCTCCTTTAGCTGTTTTTAACACTTTTTTCAGTGCAGCCTGATGATTTACTCTGGAGCGCACTGCACGTGTGGTGCAGCAATTCCCTTCCTTTCTACCGAGGAAGGATCACTGATTTTTATAAAATGAATCTATGGAGACATTTTATTGGAGGGTCAGGTACTCAGCCAAATCTCTTTGCATACCACCTTTGATGCTGATACAATTTTTTTCTGTCCTTTTTACTCTGTATTCTGTGGAAATTTTTCTATCTGCTTCTACTTGGGAACATGTATAAATGCACGTTATACAAGTAACCTGAAAAGAAGAACATCCATTCAATATTTTTGTTCTGAAATGTGTCATTTTTTCTGGTGTTAAAAGATCTCTTTCTACTGAAAGTCTTGTAGAAGTATGGCATGACCTGCTTTCTGTTTGCTTCTCCATTACATTCTACTGTTTCATCTAGGAAATGTGCAACATTTCTTTAAGAATTCATTTTAAAAAAGCTTTTTAACCTTCATTTAAAAAAAGCTGAAACATCAAAATGAAATAACATAATTCAAAACATAACTAAAATATTTGTTCTGAAATGTTCCTTTGACATGAAAAGGATTTGCTAATTTTCTCATGAGGAAAACATTAATTTGCCTTTAGAATTAGCATATGCCCTTGAAAAAAACCCCTCACAATTTAACCTGAACTGAGCTGTTTACTATAGAAACTTTCTGCTAAAAAAAGAAATGTTTAATCAGCTTTATTCATATGTAGAAACTTGAAATAATTGGTCTAATTTTTAGAGCTGATGAGCACTCATAGATCACTTTGAAGTTTGTAGTAATTCAAAAGTGCTCTGCATTTTTGCAAACCAAGCCACTTGTTTTGATTTCAAAGTTCTGTTATTCCTGTCCAACTTAAAGCATTTGCATCTGAAAAAAACCCCCACCATTAAATGGTCTACCCAAAAGAATATATGTGCTTCTTTTTCTTGCTGCTTTCCATAATGCAAGAAGTAAGAAAGCAGGAGAAGCAAACCTCATTGTGATTCAGCTGATGATAAGAACAGGGCTTCCTCTTCTCCTGGGTGTGTGTATAATATAGGGCTAGCAGAATGATGCAGAGCAATTACCACAAACTAAAAAAAAATCTACTACACAGTGCAGAGGTTGTTCAGAATAAGTTTTCTGAGCCCTCATTTCAGAAAGCAAGTAGAAAATAATTTCCTTTTCATCGTAAAGTGAATAAAGAGTAGTTTTGAACTTTAAAGAAGATAAGGCATATACCTGTAAGTTCTGCCCATAAATTTCTGAGTTTTTTCTTGGTTTTATATGAAATTTGTGGAAATAAATGGGTTCAAACTCAGAACTTTAGTTCCATTCTTTTATACTTTGATTTTTAATCTGGATTGATCATAAAACCACTGTTTAACTGGCCTCAGACTATAAACATTTTAGGAGCTGTCCTTGCCTGTTTTTCTTCAAAGTACTTAGCTAAAACCAATCCAAACTAGTTGTAGTTCTAAAGCTAGATATTAAACAAAAAATAAAATTTCCCAGAAAAACATTTCTGAGTCAACAAAATATGTTGCTATTTTGGTATTTTGCATATTTTGGAGGAAGAACTGTAAGGTACAGAGCAGTAGTATTTGTTGAACAGTATAAATATGTACTGATGCCATTGCTTTAGGGCTATGCCAAGCAGGGTTAAAAAGGTAAGTGTAATAGAAACCAAATGCTGCTTCTTGAATAAAAGAGAATATTTTGTTTGACAAAACGCTTTTATTTTCATTTTGCCTTAAATCAGTTACAGCTGTGAAGTGGTGAGGAGGCAGGAGCTGGGGACTCGTGGTGTGTGGAGATGGGAGGTAGCAGCAGTAGGAACTCAGGAGCAGCTAGAGCAGCAGCAGAAGTACCAGTAGTACAGAGGGTTTGATATCCAGAGGAATCGAGGCTGTGTGGAAATATCCAGTGGCAGGACAGGCCATGCCCAGGATATGAGATCAGAATTCCAGGAAAAGGAGGGAATGGAGTGAAGCAAGTGGAAGTGCCAGACAAAGCAGCAAGGCTGAGGGCTAAAAGGATGAAGGGGAGAAAGGAACAGTGCTGAAGTCAGAAGCTCTTTTCCCCTAAAAAATCTCCAGGAAATGTTTCTTTAAATCTGTGACAGTTCAGGAATAGAGCAATATTTATGAGTCCATACTGTTTATTAACTACCCTAGCCTCTCCCATATAATTAACACTACTTTTCCATCTTCTTTTTTTTTTTTGTTTTTTTAGAAAAGACAGTGGATATCCTGCTACTAAGCCTCTCATTGCTTTGTTCTCTGGTTTTCCTTGGAGGTTTGATGATATATGCATGTAGAAGGTAGTGTAAATTTCTAGATGGTTGTATGCATCTCCAGTGGAAGAGGGGTCAGGGTGACAGTAAACCATACAATGGATAAAAGTCAAACACAGATTTTCTCAGATAAATTAAGTTAACAAGAAGTTAATTGTGCATTTCCAACTATTGTTCTAGCAAAGTAGTGCTTCATGTTATGATCTAGTGCAAGACACTGAGAGTTATAATTTGTCTCTTGCAGCTCCTAGCCCAGTCCTCCACAGATCCAGTCTCACACCTTACTCTCTGATTTTCTGCCACTATAAACGACATTTTTTAATCTTACTCAGGCAGCTGCCTCTCTATCCTCAGTGTGACTTTTCCCCATGCTTTCACACATTCTGCCTTCAAGGTCACCTATATTAATCAGGCCAGAGATGAACTGCATGTCATTCTGTACAATTTCATTTCATAATCCATGGGCGTTATGAAAGCAGTCTTTCAGTCTAAGCTGGAGAGTTTACAAGAAATTAATAAAAAAAGTAAGTCAGGCTGATGGAATGAATTTCCTTTGTTCTACTATTAATAACATTAGGGCAAAGTAATAGTAGTGGCCTCACATCCATCAACAGTTAATGCTGCTAACTCTATCTATGCCACTACTTTTCTTCCTGGCAACATAGTTTTCCTACAGACAGCTTCCTGTGGCAGCAAAGGCTTTCTTGAACTGAGAAATAAACTTGACCAGGATAGAATGATAACTCAAGATACCTTAATATTTGTAAGGTGCAGTATGTAAGTGGACCTACTATTAAAAGTAAATTTATTTAATTAATGAATAATCATTATTCCTGATTTGTATAAAAAAAGTTATCAAATTTTTATTATGGAAAGAACACATAAGAATAATTTTTTAAGCTACTGACACAGTAGCATGCCACAACTTCTCACTTTTCGTGGAAAAAAATATTTGTGTAGAAGTCATAGCTTTTTAATATCCACCCAGTCCTTTTAAAACTCTTGCAGGTTAGAAACAATCAGGCTAAAGAAGAGCTAGGTAAAATGTTGAAAATGTAGGAAATATCTACAGTGAAAAGAAAGAAAAAAAAATTAAATGGCTTTAGAAATAGTAGATGCCTGCCTTGGAACTGGAATATTTATTACAAAGCATTAATGTCTGATCTGCTCCTGCAGACAAGAATAGTCGCGTGCCTGTATCACTGTCTTGCAGGTATAGATGCCTGGAAGTTATAACCACGAATAAAAATAAGAAAAGGTATGCACAGCATTTGTAGTGAAGCCAGAAGGGAACAGAAAGATTGTGGAAGTTGCAGGACAATGATGTCAGTAGACAGGATGGGGAAAAATCCTCAGGGGACTAAAATGTCTAGTGTTCTCCAAGGTGTTTCAGCTTATCCACACACAGTGGACCAACATTTTAAGGACTGGTCACCCTGAGTCCCTGAAGAAGAGTCAGTGATGGGATGATATGCATGTAAGCATGTAGGCCAGTTATCAAGGGGAATTTTTAGTGGTGATCTGCAAGTCGTTGGCTGTGCACAGTGGCTGTGCAGTCAAATGTGCACATTTTTACAGAAGGAAGGAGGAGGCTGCACAATTCATGCAACATAACCTACCCCAGCTGTGCCCCTGCTTCAGGACAAAGCCATATGCAGAGGTGTTTACTCTGGGAGAGATGATGTGCTGCAAATTCAGATGCTTGCTTATCTCATGCCAGATTACAAGTCTTTAGTCAACTTGGCAAAACAAAGACTAAATATTAACAATATTTTTGTGAATGTCATAAATGGAGCTCCCTGGCTTGCACACTCAGTGTTTTCCTGTCATTGTGTGAGCTGCAGGAAAAAAGTGCTAGTCACACAGATCTAAACTTCTGCCTGACTGCAGAGAAGCCACACAGTGAACTGCGTGCTATAAGGCACAGTAAGATTGCTTCTTACCTGGTTCTGCAACACATGAAGAGAAGTCACAGGTGTGCCCAAATTATGGGGTATTTTTTGGTGGAAAACACCATTGAAATAGAAAACTGTAATAAGGATTTTCTCTATTCTATGTGCTCAAAATATTTGTTCAGAGCCTCTTCAGGATTTCTGTTAATTTTACTCTATCCTGCCATATTATGGCACATATTTAGACTGCAATATCAAAATATCTTCTAGTAGCACATTCAGCAATTTAACTAGCAATTCCCAGTGTGTTCCCTTATGCTGTTTTCCTTCCCAAGAGAAAGATATATGCCTTCCAATACTGTGATTTGGGTTTGTTTTTTTAAATAATATAACTATGTGATTGCAAACTTTGATGGAAAACACAGATCATCTCAAACGATGAATGATAATTTGAGTTGTGAGGCAAGAGGAATGGGTTGTTTTGTTTAATTTTATCTTCTCAAAACAAATTTATGGGGAAAATGATGTGCATATTCTGTATAATAAAATGACAAATTAAAAGATTGAGGTGTTTTGAACTTGCACCTGGAGTTCATTCCACAAGCCTTGGCTGGCTCCCAGAGCAGACTGTGCTCCTCTTCTTCACTACACTCATCCTCTCAGAAAAGCTCAAGAGCTCCAGAACTGGCTTGAGGCCAAGCCTCCTATTCTTAGGATTCAGAAAAATTTCTATGACACTTCTGGTCAATACAGTTTGACCAAATTTGATGCTAAAGGAGCCATATTGACCTTAAGCTCAGCCGGTTAAAGAGTGTATTTATCACCTCTTCTGTGCAAAAGTCCTTCTCACCCATTTTTACCAGTAACTGTGAGTAAACTAACTGATAATACCCCTTGTGGCTATGAATATGGGCTGGCAGAGTACAGAATCATCACCCTCAGGTTTATATTCTGCATCTCCACATTAGAACTGCATAAGCTGCTATGTAGGGGTCTTTGTGTTCAATATATAATCACCACAAAAATTATATTTAATGTTAGCGACAGAGAAAGAAGTGACTTCTGTGCCCAAAGTATTACAAACACTGAATAAACCTTTGACAGAAGACTTTAGCATAGTTGGGTAGTTACTGTCTATATCACAGCAACAGATTACTGAGATGACAATATGATTTTTTGATTCAAGTGATTGTTGATGGCACAATGGTCATATCATCCTGGAGAGTGCCAAGCAATAAAATCAAGGCTCAGAACAACTAAGCAAATTTGCCTGTGAACAACTTGTAGATTGAGAGAGTAACTAACATAATCGTTGTATTCCAGTTGTAAAAGAATAAGTAATCTGTACTAATCCTGGTTATATGCCAAAAAAGTTGAGTACTTGTAAAAATATACAGAATTTTTAATATCAATGAATGACGATTTTGTGCATAATGCAATTTTTATCCAACAGCAACTTATGCCAATACAAATGGAGACACACTCAGAGGTTACTCTGGGAACACTAGAAGAGAACAGAGATGAGAACATTCAACCACAGAAATGTTTGAAAGAATTTGTCTTAGAAGATCTGTAGAGATGATATGCCTTTTTCATCTTATTCAAGTGTACCTTTCCATGAGGTGGACAATATTCTAACAGATCAAAGAACAGCTGATATGGGAGTTTGTCTGAGACCAATAACTTGAAGTACTTTGTGCTCTGACAACATGCAACTCTTAAAATTAGCTTTGGATCACAAACAAAAAACACTATCTTGCAGCTTGTCTCTAAAAAAACTGATCTCCAGCCCAATAAAATTAGAGCATCTCAGAAAATATGAGCTGATGTTGACATCCCTTTGGGTTAAAATGAAATTAGAATTAGTGTTTCATAATGCTGCAATAGCTTCCAAGTACTGTCTGATAGATCAAGAGCTTTTGAAGATTGGCTGTTCATACAAATCTCATACTAGCTATTAAACATCTGATTGATGTGGTCATGAGAAATGGTGGAAGTAGTAAATGTTTCTGGAAACAGCAAGAGAATCTCACAAGTTTTCTCTAAAACTAATATAAAAAAAAAATCCCTTTCTGAGTCACTGCAGTGTGTAAGCACACATCAACCAGAAAGAAAAGCGTGAAGACAGGGTCTTTTAATATTGTGGACTTTGCAGTTAGCAATCTAAGTAAAACAAGAAAACTTTAGATGAGGTAAAGTTTTCTGCTGTATTGTGAGTGTTTAAATAAGTTTATCTCAGAGAAGTAAAAGTTCAGAACTGACGAATTTTTGCTATTTATTTTTCCCTGTCCCTTTAAAGAATCTTTCCTACTGATTCCATGAAGTGATGAGCTATGCTAGTCTGTTTTCAGGTACACAATCAGGGAAGAGTTATTCTAACTCTTTGTTAGGAAAATGTTTATTTGACTAGAAGAGAATTATTTGATTTTGCAAGGAAGACATTTCTTTTTTGAAGATGGGAAATACAAATGGTCAACGATGGACATAATTTTCTGGAAGGTTTGGAAGATACCTAAAAATTACTTGCTTTCATTACTGGTAACATTTTTCCATGTCAGAATAGTACTTATTGGAAGAAATAAAAATATAAAAATATTGTTGTTTTCTTGAAACATAAAGTTTCCAAGATATACTTTGGTGCTGAGTCTTGATTCACCTAAATGTGCTTTTTTTTTTGGTAAAAGGTCCCCAATAGAGAAGATTGCACTATTCCTCCTTTATTATTAAGAATGGCTGGAGGCAAGTGGAAAGCTCGATCTAGAAATATCTGAACAACAAAAGAGCTATAAATGTGGATTTTTTTTTGCTGTAAGATCAGGTTAATGACCTCAAAAGAACAATCAGTTTTAGTAGGTAATGTAACATTTCCTCTTACCTTTGAACATCAGTCATTTCCTCTTACCTTTGAACATCAGTGCTCTCCCCTCCATACTTGTCAGTCTGATGCCCACACAAATCATCAGGCAGAAGGTAAATTGTAGATATCAGGTGCTGAGTCAAGTTTCAGTGAGACAACTCCTCTAATATCTCCTCTGTCTTGGGAGAAAACCCTCAGTCAACGTAATAACTTTGCTTTTGGATGATCAGACACTATCTTTGTGCACAGACAATACAATTATCTCATTGTTCAATGTTCAGACCTTTTCTCAAGAAGAGGGGAAGAATTCCTACTTTCTGATAAAAATCATTAGAAGAGGCATTCAGAAAGTGTTATGAACTTATGGATTCCTTTCTTGGTGAGGGTATGGAATGGATAAAATGAAAAAATCACAGTATAAGTGAGGTAAGAGGGGTAGAGGAGAACTACACTGGCCACTCACATCTGGGACACAGATTTCATAGAGTGAAATCAGGCCACAGTGAATATTATATTGTTCCTTAAAATATATATTTTTATTAATATATTTTATATTGTTTTGGCTTGCAGTGTTTAAAGCCCTAAAGCAAGATTTAAAATAAGACAGAGAACACACAGATTAAAGGAATTTTAATATTTTATCTTAAAATAGAAGAATTAAATAGAATTCTTTCATATTAAAATTGTTTTCCTTATAAGAGGCCTTGGTCAGTACACAGAGCTCTCCCACATTAACATGATAGTCTCCAGAGACATATCACATAAAACATTATGATAATATCAGTTGTATTGAAAATTAAACTTAAAGTGCAAATTTGATAAAACAAAATCCAGTATCTGGAACTTTCCAAGAAATATTTGACCAACATATTCACAAAAGGGTAAAATTTTTCCTTAAAATGAAATATTTTTCTAAACCTATCCCACACCTCTCCTCCAACAGTGGATTAATCTGCACTACATATATATAAAAAAGGTACTGATCTGAGAGCATGTTTATACCAGAGTCAGTATGGCATTAAACACCTCAGCCTACAGAAGATACTCAGCATGTTTGCTGACAACACTTAGAGAAGAGGTGTGGATGGAACATGTCTGAGCAACAGGATGTCATCCAGAAGGACTTGGTCAAGCTCTGGCACCTGGCTCATGGGAATGTCACGAGGCTTAAGAAGGCCAACTATGACGTGCTACACCTGGGTCAGGGCAAACCCTGAATCAACACAGGCTGGGGAATGAACAGACAGAGAGCAGCCCTGCTGAGAAGGACTTGAGAGTGCTGGCAGATGAGAGGCTGGACATGATCCACCAGTCTGCACTTACAGCCCAGAAAGCCAAACGTGTCCTGAGCTGCATCCAAACCAGGGTAGACAACAGGGCAAGGGATGTGATTTCCACCCTCTACTCCATTCCAGTGAGACCCTACCTGAAGTCCCGTGTCCACTTCTGGAGTCCTCAGTGCAGGAAAGACACGGACCTGTTGGAGCAGACCCAGAGGAGAGTCTCCCAAAATGATCAGGGAGCTGAAAAACCTCTCCTAAGAAGACAGGCTGAGAGGGTTTGGTGTCCAGCCTGGAGAAGAGATGACTTCAAGGGAGACTTTATTGTACTTTCCAATACCAAAAAGGGAGCCAACCAGAGAGCTGAGGAGGGACTTTTTGCAAGAGCAACTAGTGGTAGGACAAGGAGGAATGGAGGTAGATTTAGATTAGCTATTAGAAAAAATTCTTTACTGTGAGCATGGTGAGGCAGTGGAACAGGCTGTACAGAGACGTTGTGGATGCCTCATCCCTAGTGGTGCTCAAGTCCAGGTGGGATGGGGCTTTGAGCAACCTGGTCTAGTGGAATGTGTCCTCATCCATGGTGGGGGTGTTGGAAGTAGATGATCTTTTAGGGTCCCTTCCAATCCAAATCATTCTATGATTCTCTGAAAATCTTACTCAGCTTGGCTGGCTTTCTCCTGTCAATGAAGCTCCTGCCTTTACCTTATTGGTGAATTACACTCCTATGTAAAAGATTTCACCTTCTGGTACTGAAGAGGGACCTGATGAGACACTGGGCAGTGCACTGCACATAGATTGCTTTTAATTTCCACTTACCTATGCACAGAGCCAAAATCCCTTTGCTGAGGTCATAAAACCCGGTGATATGTCATGGCTGTCTGGTTTTATGCTTTCAGCTCCAAGTACCCATTTCAGTCAGGTACATATAGCACACAGGAACTCAGGGCTAGGAGTATTATTTAGTGTTTGTGTTTCTTCCTGAACATCAGTGATTATGCAGATATCAGACATACCTCACTGAAGCTCCTGAAGAAAAAATAGCCCCTTCTCTTTGCTTTTAAAGAATAGTTTCAAGAGGATGATGGGAGTCAGCAAAGCAACCTTCAGCCTTGGGACTCAGCACAAAGGCTGGTCTGGTTGCCCAATGCTGCTACCTGCTGTACAAACAAACTACTTCCAGTCAGAAATGTTCCTCAAATTTTCAAATTGGTTTAATTTGGAGCAAGTATGCTGATTTAACTGCACTGTGAGAATTAAAGAAATACACCTCCTGCTCTAACTTGAAGAGCTGGCCTTTATTAGGGACAAGATACACTACAAGACACAAGATTCTAATTTTTGCTTCCTCGAGTCTGGGTATCTAATCAAACAGAACTGGCCATGGCCATGGGATATTGAGAGATCTCCAGCAATCTCAATCTAAAACAGGTCCAAGACAGGATGACCACCTCCTTCTTATTAGACACTAGATGATCAGACTCAGAGTACATTTCCCACATTTTCTTGACCTAGTTATTCTGCCTTTCTCTGCCCTAGTGAAAGGAGATACTTTGGCCAAAGAAGAGCTTGGTAGTTACAACCTTTGCATTTGGGAGTCTTCCCAGCACAGTTAAAGATGTCACAGTTCATATCTCATAATGTTTCAGACCAACATTATTAAGCCAGCAAAAGCAGTTTTGATCAGAAACACCCTTGTTCAAGAGCAAGGGCAGAGAAACTTGTGCCAATGTTTAGGCTGAAGCCCAGATCACAATTTTATTCTTATCACTATCAAGCAGAGAAGCTGGAGGATGCAATACTTAAATGTATGAAACACATGAAGATCACAGGGATGTGCAGGTGTATGTGTGTGGATACACATGCATGGCCAAGGAAAAGCTGTTTGTATGGAAACTGGCACCGATATTCCTTGGGGCTGTGTACGGTGCACGTGGTGTTCTTAGCATGCTGCCCTGTATTTCTCCATTGCAGATGATCAAGTTATCTGCTGGTATTTGATTAGCCAGTGCCAGCTGACTGATGCAGCATGGTCTACTTATATTGAGAGGAACCAGATGGCTCCTACAAAGCAACTTTAAAGATAAAGGTGACACTGGGAGCTAAAAATGCTTTGGTGAGTGATACAGCACAGGGCTGGGCTTAGGCTTACATTACTGCATCTCATCAGAATATATACATCAGCCTATTTTTGGTAATCTCAGAGAAAATTCCAGATCACAACTATGAATGCCAATTGCATGCTTTGGTTCTCCTGAAATTTGGCAAGTGATCAAACCCCAACCCACTGGATAAATAGTTAGAGAGTATGATTTTGGTATTTAGTTAAGAAAGGCACAGAACCAGCAAAGCAATTGACATCTTTGAGTGAAAGCTACCATTACTCATCTTTCCTCTTAATATTCTCTAATTTTGTAAAATTTTCTAAAGAAATCACTCTCATATGTATCTAACTCCAGTGAAATCAAAACATGCAAGGATTTAAAAAATATCAAATGTAATAGACAGGCAAAGCATTAAAGACATTAGCATAAAGACATCAACAAAGAAGGAAATAATAGATGAAAGTGGAGGGGAGGGCAGGGGGAAGAATGAAAAGAATCAGTATTCCAGACCATACAGCACTATTATTTTGTTTTCATTAACTCACAGAATTAGTTTGGATTCAGCAAGCTGTCACTTTGTATTTATATAGATGAAAAATAATTGCATTTTAAAGCTTGTTTTGGCTTCTGGCTGTCATTTGGTTTTTTAACCAATGACAAAAATGAGAAATAGGGTGATTATGTAAATATTCTAGACCACAATAGCTAACAAATATTCATTTCATCCTTGATTTTGTGCAAAAGGGAAACCTTTCTCCAGTTTTTAAACTACTTTCTACAGAATGTTGAAAATGTACACGAACTCAAAAGGAAACTTGACAAAACCATGAAAAAATCTCTATCAAAGACTTGTTACATACAGTGTCAACTCTTCTGACTCGTGGTTATTTGTTCAAAAATTGCAAGACACAGGGAGAATACTGCTGTCCTCTTGTTGTTTCCTCCTGGGCTCCTGCTACAGGCACTACTTGAGAGAACATGGAGCACTGGTCAAGGTCAGACGTATCTTTGGAGCAGCTGGAGGAATGGCTGAGGCGTTGTATGCTTTTCCAGACTGAGGGAGTAATGAACTCACTGCTAATGTTGCAACCAAGGGAGAAACCTCTGTCTTCAGGGGAATAGCAAAACTTGCATCTCAGCTAACATCTGAACCCAAAATACAGCAGAATTCTGTGGCTTCATAAAATCTCCCAGTCCATCTTCACTGATGAACTTCATCTTCCAAGGCAAACTTTATTTTCCAAGACTTTCAGCGATAGTTTAGCAAGGGTCTTTATCCACTTGCATAATTTCAGTAACATCTTGATTCACAAGGTGTTTTTCATAGAAAAAAAATGTTTTATTTAAAACACAGAGGATGGAAAAGCTTTATCCCTGATTCTTTCTGGACATTTAATAAAGTTAAATAGTGATATATACATCACAGCCAACAATAGAAACAGATGGACACAAGCAAAACTGTGCCCACTTTCTGCAGTCTGGGGAGAATTTACAGTAACATATACTCATTATATTGTTAATATTGTCAGCTTTGATTCATTGTAAACCTGTCCTACTTGACTGAAGAGTCTGGAAAATGTGTGGTCTTCAGAGTTACATAGAAATTGTAAATTATTTGCATCCTTACATCTTTCAATTTATTTTTTGTGAAAACCAATAAAAAATAAAATATCAGAATACCTGTCTCATATGCAACACATATTTGGGGTTCCTTAAAATTGAAGATAGTGTCTGTTATAAGAAAGTGCTTGGTGAGAAGGCTAGTGCTGATAATTTGTAACCAAAAGGCTTCAAGATAACTTGTTAGAGGATTTTTTCTTGTTCATGCCTGCCCTATTTCTAGCCCAGGGACTTGTAATAAAAGAGTTGATGAAACCACTTCCTACAGTGGAAAGTAGGGCACTGCTGGGCTTTGTGGGAGCACAGAGTTGCCAGGGCCACTCCACTAGTGAATGATAGCTTGCTTCCCTCCCAGCTCTAGAGCAATGGGTTAGATGCACCAGCACAGGGAGAATTGGGTTAGAGGCAGCACACTTCAGGTGATTAATAAGTGGGAACATAATGATTATCAGACCATGGTGATTATTGACTTAGTATGTCATGTGGTCTCTTTAAATGCTGCCTTTCTGGAACATCTCAGCCCTTGACTTGGAGCAATGCTGATGAGGTGGTACTTTAAAACAAATGGGATCTCTTCTTGCTACAAGTAACCCTTTTTGGTTGTTTTTTTTAATGTGTGTGTGTGTGTACCTTGCTTTTATTTTTTAAGTGTGACTGGATTTTAAACACTAGGTGTCAGTCAGTCACCTCTCAAAAGCACGATCTGAAGCGCTAGCACATTTGTCTTTGGAAAAGAAAACTTTCAAAGACATAATGTACAATAATGTACACATTAAATAATTATTAAAATCGTGCCAAAGTCAGGTGAACTAATTATTCCATAGGGCTGTTTAGCAAGTTTTTGCAAGTTTTGGTCCTGTTCACTGCACTTTGTTTCATCTATGTACGTTTGGTTGCAGTCACTTCTTTTAAATTTTTTTAGTTTTTTCAATTTCATTTTTGACTGACCATATCTCTTTTTTATTTGTTCAACTCTATCCTCCAGTTTCAAGATTTCATTCCCTTTCCTGAAAGGCCCTTCCACTCAGGCTCCCAACGCCTTGTCTCTGGAAGGAGATTTTCTTGCTTCAAAGGCTTTTACTGAAAATTAGTTCAGGTAAATGCTGACAATAAGCAAGCAAACCTGTTGAGCCTCGACTCCACAACTTGCCAAGTAACAGGATCCTTCTCTGGGACATTTAAGAGTGCTAACAACTGAAGAAAATATTACATGTTTTACCCTTTCTCCTTAAAATAACACAAAAATGTGCTGCTCTTGCAATTGCATTTACAGGCTTTTTCAGCAAGCTGCTGATCATTAAAAGAAACCTTCTCCATCAGTGCCCTGGCCAGGACTTTGAAATAACCCAAAGCAGCTTTATCTACCCTGAAAGCAGATCCACACAAGAATTTAGGGTGTGCTGTCAGGGTGTGGATGTGGAGCAATTCCAGCCAGTGAGCTCCAGGGAGTTGCTTAGTGTGTTATCCCAAACACCTGTGGAGCAAGGTTTTAGTTTCAGCTTGCTCCAGGTGTAGGCACTTTTACTGTGTGCTACCCCACGTTTCCTCATTGCAGCTCCCTGCAGCTCCTTGGGCTGCCCTGAGCTTCAGGTAAGTCTTTATGTAATTCCTAAAGTTTTACAGCTCTGTAGCACAACAGTGTTCTTGGCTTTTTTTGAGGTGATGAGCAGAGAAAGTTTGAAGGTTGTAGGACTGCAAGATGCCTCTTTTTATGTGGCAGTTGTAAGGTGGAGTAGCTGCTTGATGTGAAAGGTGATGATTTTGTCTTTCTATTGTGAAATCCAGATTTTGTTTATCTTTTAAGCTCTCTCTCCATTTACACTTACCCCCAGTACCATGGTTCTGCTTTGTTGGTGTATTTAGCCTTTAGACAGCTGTACAGATGTATTGCTTCCCTTGTGAGCCTTCCCCTAGCTGCTCATCTGTGGAGAGAAGCAGGATTTTATGGGACTTGGTACTTCTTAAGTCAGACTTCTTTGATTTTCTGTCAAAACAGCAGGTGATTATTTTGTTGGTAATGGTCAGATGTGCCAGTTCCATGAGCATTATGGTCCTTGCAGTATGTGAATTCAGAATTGTTATGGCCTTTAGTCGGGCAATGCTCCTATTGAGTGTGGGGATTTTACCCCTGGTTAACACAGGGATTGCCACAAGCTTCCACTTCATCCCTTTCCTGGGTTTGGAGGAGGGTTGGAAGAACAAAAGGTGCATCTTTTTTCTCAGCTGCCAGAGTTTCAGAGGTCCTGGGCAGTGTTAATGAGGCACAACTGGGTCTTGTTTAAACACTAAAGGGTGAAGCCATGAGGTACTTCTGGAAGCTGGGCTTTTCTGGAAAAAAAATGGGTTTTCCAATCATGCTGTGGATTAATTAATTATCTCTGCCTGTGCTAGAGGTAGAAGGAAGCCTTTTAATGTTTGCCAGGGGATAACACTCCTTTTGCTGCCCACTGAAAGCACGGCAGCCTCAGCTTAAATGAGTGAACCTGTGTGATGTGCCCCATTTTGGGGACTCTAATAGCTCAGGGGAGGAGGTTTTACGTGGAAAGCCCCCCTGGTTCCGGGGGGTTCACCTGCAATGTGGGGCAGGCTGGGTTTTAAGCCATCAAAAAGCACTTTGTTACCTGCAGAGATAATTGAATGTAGATGCACAACCCCAACAGAGCACCTGTGCTGCCTCCCTGGCATGAGTAAGTATTGCCTGCATGCCTGTGTGTTCTCTGCAAGCTACACATTAGTAAGGCAATCCATATATTGCATTAGGACAGACCCTATGCAGAAATCTTGCCATTTCAGTGAGGACCAAGTGGGCAAGCTTCGGTCCCTATTCCTGCACGTCATGTCATCCTCTTCACTTTTCTTGCTTTCACATCCTATCAGGTTTTTTTGGCTTTATTTTTGAAATTTCATGTCTTCTGTTTCTCTTCCATGTCTTTGTTTTGCTTTCTTCCTAGACTTTAGGGATTTAAATGGGAGCAATTTTGGCAAGTTTTGGTCCTCTTCACCTCATTTCATCTCACTGCTTTTGGCTGTAGTCACTTCATTTCAAATTGTCTATTTTTTTAAATTTCATTTTTGATTGACTGTATCTCTTCCAGAGTGCTTGTTCAACTCCAACTTCAAGATTTCATTCTCTTTCCTGAAAGGAAGAGTTATTAATCTGTTGTCTATTGCTTCAAGTGACTAATAAATCCCTCTTTTTTTTCACCTGTTCTACTTCAGCTTTGTACCATTTCCAAAAAACTTACATTTCAAAGGAAAGCATACCAACCCTGACCTGTGTTGATTGCTCCCCTCAGGGCATTGTTGGCACATACAAACTTATCCTGCAATTAATCTGCTGTGACAGAGGAGGGCTGTTTAAGAAATGTTCTTATGTTGACAGTAGTTTGAGTATTGCTCCTTCTGCCAGTTCTCCAAACATGACATTTTCACAATGTCAAGCTGCAGCAAGAGCCGCTGGACTCAAATGATCAGGTGTCTCAGGCACCTCCACACTGAGGATCCCCAGTTTTGTGGATCTGGATTTCAGTGATCTGGTACCTCAAGAGAAGCTGAAAACAGAGCTGTCTTTGTAGAATAATGATGTATAAGAGGAACTTATACTCGGTGCTTAAACACTGATGTTTGGCTACAGACATACTGCCTCAGAACCCAAACTGACATGTTTTCACTTAAATCCCATCATGGATATCTAGGGTATCTCTGCTGTCTGACTTGGGCACACGGATCTCCTTTTGAATTGCATCAGGGACCTGTCCTAAATGCTCACATCCACTAGATGTCAGGGCACATATATCCTCTGGGTCATTTAAACAGTTTCTGTAATTTGACTTTGTAGGTATTAAAGGTTTTTTTAATTAATCTCTTCATCTACAATTTGATTCAGTAATCTCAATAGTCCTCCAAAAATCTATTACCTATTCTTGAAACACATTCAGACTGTCCTTCTTTCCTGGAATCATATATGTGTCTAATTTCAAATACTGAACTATTAAGACAATGCCAATGTGTAGCTTGAATGGAAACCTTCTCCAGAGTGCATGAAGAAATGTATTTTGCAATTATGATCTTTATTCTTTTACACATATATTTAAAATTACTACATCACTGCTGTGAGGCTCTGAGAAATGTCTTTTTTGATATGCTGCCTCCATAATATGCTTTTTTTTTCCACCTGACAAGTGATATCCCAAGTTTCTAGGCTTATACTGCTCTTGAGAGTCTGATCTTGAAGAACTAAAGGTAGGATTAGTGTAGCTCTCGCCATGTGTCAGTCCACAGATTCAAGGGCCACTGAGAGCATTGCATTGAGAAGGCAGGTAACAACTTCCAGGCTAAAAGAGCAGAGCTGGATTTTTCAGTGCTCTGTATTTTGTGAGAGAATACATCCATGTGCAGGGCCCCCTGCCACGACAGCAGTTACCTTTCAACCCACTCTTCACTCATCCTGACTGAGTATAGGTCAGGATGCAGAAGGCAAGGGGAATGGAGAACCAGCCTCTTTGATGTCTAGATCATCACTATGTTTAGGTATTTTTAATTTTTTTTTTAGTTTGTTTGATCTCACATCAGGGCTTCAGTAATTTTTTTTTTCCTGGTGACCTGTGATCACTTTCCTGTTCCCTTTACTTCAGGATACTTTTGCAGCTGTACATCATCATGATGGCCATGGCAGCTCCTCAAATCAATGAAAATTAGATGAGTTTTTATGACAATTTTTTATTAAAAAAATTTAAGATAAAAGCTGCCCTGTATGGAGCAACAAACACTTTATACCCAGATTCATTCTACATAAGGTGCATCTGTTAGAAAACCAGGAAACCCCCATATCCCATGAAGAAAGACAGACACCACCAAAGGATTGTTCATGCCACATGAGGATGGCTGTTTTCCTCTACTTTTCTCCCTGGATTTGCAAGCCCTCCCTCTTGCTCCCACTCTTACTGCAAGAGCTCTAGTTCAGCACATAAACTTAGTTGAGAATAAATAAAGGAAAAACACTAGTTATTATATCAAGCACCATAAATAGAAAACATAGTTAATGTGTAGAAAATAGAAAGATGGAGGAAACTTTATAGTGATGAAGAAGAAAATGGCTCTCAGGTCCCCCCTGACTACAGACCTGTCTTCTTACCATAGATACACACTAGCTTTCAAGTTCTGTTAGTTTAATAATCCTTTTGCAAACTTGCAAGAGTGATAACCATCAGCAAAAATGTCCTCCTGAGTGCTTGAAATGGTCATTTATGACTTTGTCTGAAGTCAGTCCATGAAAAGTGGATGAATTTTGAACTCATTTTCTGCTGACCTGGTGTCACAGGTGTTGTCTTTGCCTCACTTGGAACCAGAGCACGTGCTACTAAACTGCTTTGATCTATGAGATATAGTCATAAACAAAAATTATATCCTTCCAAATTATTATGTGGATCTTTTCTTCAAAAATGGCTCTTCAAAGCTCAGTTTGGTGTTTTACTGCTGAAGTAGAGCAAAAGAACTCGGCATTCTTTGCCCATGGGGACCCTTTCATGGCTATGAAGGTTGGATGAATTGGCTTGTCACAGTCTGCCCTATCCCTTCATGACTGCTTCTTTAATGTTTGTGCACACTGAATATTTATCAGTCTTTTACTTTCAGTCAAACTGTAGCTGAATCTGGTGAGTAGGATTAAGAAAAAAGAGGTGACAAGGAGTCATAGGTCTGTGTACACACAGAGAAGGATCAATCCAACTTCATTTACCTAATCAGGCTCAAAGTTCTTGGAGACACACTACCATTCTGAAAAATGTAATTATAGAAATACCAAACACATGTGCATGATCTGACCTGTAAATAGGTTGGCTATAGTTATTTAACTCAATTAAATCTGTCTCATGCATACTAAGCAATCTTCAGCTAATGAGCTGATTGGTATGTTTCATGTTTCATAGCTTTGAAGACTAAATTTTATTTTTGTAATTAGTAAAGAATAAAAGAATTCACTGATTTTTTTTTTTTATTTTATTTTCTCTGTATAAGGTCTTTCCTTAAGTGACACTGACTGAAAGGGCTCACTGAAAAACAAAATCAACTGTTTTGCAGAGCGTCTAAAATCAGGAAATTGTCAAGGAAACCAAATGAGATAAACACTGAACTGTTTGGAAATAACATTTTGTTATTGTTTGTTAAATAGCTGCTTGAAAAAAGCATGTAGCTCATTACTGTGTTGCCTACAACCTAAGGATGTGTTCAGCTCTATCATTAAAATATAATTTTTACATTTGTGCTGGATTGAAATCAAAAAATTATGAAATCTTTATGGGGGCAAACCAACCTTGCTCTCAAATAAATTGAAAATTCAAAGTTCTCTCTGAGCACATGGAATTTCTTTATTCCATTGAAACACTGGGAAGTACATACAGTTCTTGCAGAAAGTTTGGCTGTTCAGCTCAGCAAGGTAGAAACTGATATCAGAGTCCAGTCTCATCCACAGAAGGAGGGAGAGGTAGGTGCCACCTGAGCATGACATCAGAATGAAGATATATTTTTCTTGGCTTAAAAAGCCAGTATTACTGTACAAGTGGGAACTATTTCAAAACAAATCTGAAGCTCTTGAAGCAAATTATGCTTAAATAATGCAGAATCACACAGTAGAAAAGATTAAAATGCATTTGTTTTTGTTATCTGGCAAGGGGTTGGTTGTCTGGGGTTTTGTTTCTGTTTTGTTGCTTTATTTTTTTCTTTTTTCCCCAAAGCCAGATGATACGTGATATAAAGCAGAAATTTGATTTGTTGAATCACAACACAAACATCCTGTCAAGACAAACTGATGGTCTCTACTTTTTTTCTGATGTAGTTGTATGGGTATGCTTTATTTTCTAGTTTTGAAGAATTCTGAAGTAAAAAAGAGCAAACCAGAATATATTGCAATAACACTGTGAAACTTCAGGGTGTAACAGTGGCCCAAAAACTGCCTGCAGGTTTGTTTGTCCAACCTAGAAGGATAAAATACATCTAGAAAGTGAAAGGCAACAGAAATAAGAGGTGTGAAGCAGCTCACACCTGAGAAAGGACTATGTGGCCTAGGATCCTTTGGCCTGGAACAGAGTAAATGGAAGGATGGTTATACTGGTTTATAAACTAAAGAACTGTCCATAAGCTAAGCAAATCAGACACTTCTCCTCCACAACATGCATTGTTAATCATTAAAAACTTTTTCCAAGGAGCCCTATGAATGTTGATGGACATGGGTTCCAAAGGTGATTGAACAATCTCGTACAGTAAGTCTTAATTCATCAGAACTGTCAAACGCACTTCTGTAACGCAACAAGCCACTGAGCTACTCTCCTGTTTTTGACTGGGATAGGTTTTTGTTCTTAGCCTGAGAGGAGGAGGTTGTATGCTGCATTTTTTACATCTTTCCCTTGGCCTTTCCAGGTATGCCAGCTGGATGATCAGTTGGTTTGAGGTGGGCAACATTTCTTGTTTTGACTCCCCCCTCTACCTTCTTCCTTTCTCCTTGTAAAGCAAAGTGCTGCCTGAGCATGAATGTGGAACAGACAGAATCCATTTTATTCAAAACAAAACTTTAAACTTGCTCAAGATGTTCTGCTTTCTCTGTTTTTCCAATTGATAGGGGAGATAATTGGAGGTATCTGGTTTTTTTATCCTGTAAGTAGTTTGTACTATATGTCACTAAATTTTGCTTCTCTTTCTTAATGTGACATTGATTTCAGAAGAATTTATTAGTTTCATTTCTTATTGTCCAATTTATCATCCCTACTAATCTGAATGTATTCATCCCTAATTTATGGCTATATTTCAACACCGAACTGAGATAGATCTTGAGCCTGACTGACAATATGTTTGCTATCCATGGTGAGAGGGGTGGTGGAGATGGGCTGCAGCCACCCACAGCTTTCCTTGCAGTGTAAGGTGGACTTCTTTATTCAGCAAAAGAGTGATGAAAATATTCTCTTTTGTAGTTTCATGCTTGATAACTGAAGGATTGGGAGAAAAACAAAAATTCCACTTTTCAGGCTCACACTTGCAAAGGCCACAATTTACACCAGGGTAAAGTAAGAAAAAACCAAAGCAATTCCATTATAGTATTGTTTTCCACTCATGCAGGAGAGCGGGGAATCAACGCCTGTGCTGAAACACGTTGAGCATTCAGCCTGACCCTTCCTTATCTGTGAACTTTGATCCTCTTGTCACATGAGTGAACCAAGAAAGCCTCTGCTCCCAAAGCTGCTCAGTTAAAGCAACAAATGTATTTATATGAGAGGGGCAGACTAGCGGCAGAGGTGTGAAGCCTGTAGTTACTGTTTCTACATCTCTTAAAGATAGACCTTGGTAGTACTTCTTAGCTTTAGGAGTGCTTTTAACTGGCAATGCAAACTGATAGACATGTGACATTGCAACCTTTTGTGAGTGTGTGAACCAAGGAGGCCCTTTTTAGTTAGAATCTCCACAACTTTGGAGTAGTTTTTATGACTACTCCACATCACAGAAGCATCTTCTACAGTATAGGACTGGGGCTGGGAAAAGGGTTGTGTCAAACAGCATTTCCTTGCAGTTATCCATGGATTCAGTAAATTCTCTGTAGAGGAATAGGTTTCAAAAAAGAAAACAATGGAATACAGCTATTTAATTCTGAAATATCAATGTAGCATAGAAACTACTTTGCTTCCTTTCATGTGCACAGGGAACTCTGTCAGACCCAAACACCAAGTCAAAAGAGAAATTTTTTGGGAAAAGCAGGCAGAAATTTTCAGCCTGATTTTCCATACAAGTACCATATTTTAAACAAAAGTAAATAGAAAGTATAATCTTGAAAAGGTGTTTTTTAACAAAAGCAGAATCCTTCTTTCTAGTTCCAAAAAATATGATCTTTCCATGAGCCCTCTACTTGCCCTTTCCAGATTTCCTTCTGAAAAAATACTAAGGAAGAAAATGACCCTAAATACATGTTCTTCCTCTTCAGATCTAATTTGATAAAGACTGCCATCCTCCATTCTCCATATGCCTGCTGGTCAAACTCAAAACATGTGTTTGCCTGTGCAAGAGCATTTTAGAAAACTTCAATTATATTTCCCCATCCTCAACTTTTCTATGGTTTGTTTGTTTGAAAACAACATCTGAAATTCAATTATATTTGCTGCAATTCTGAGAAGGACCCCTGCTACCTTTTTAAAACAACTCACAGAGGAAATAAAATGGGAGCTATTGAGAAAAAAACCCAAGATGCTACTAGTGCAAAAGACTCTAGAGACTGGCTATCTCCTTCCTTCTTTAAGCAGATTTACCCATTTAAGAATATTGTTTTGTGCTCATTTCCAGTTAGTTTTGTACTGATAGTTCTCAGCACTCACTAGAACAGAAGCTAGATCTGAGGATAACAAAGCAAGAAAATTTCCAGGCTGAAGTGTCCCCCTCCATCACAAAAAAAAAAGTGGCATTTGTGAAAAGATGGACAAAGACTCTACCTAGACACAGTGGCCTAAGATATTGCCTTGCTTTGAGTATTTCGTTATCCCTGCCCTTCAAGATTCAGGTAATCCTCACTGTAGTCAGTCATTAAAAGGCATGAGAATATGTTACTATTAATTCAGAAAACAAAAGATGAACACCATGGATCTCATTCCTGGATGCAAAATTATCTTCCCTGAAGACAGAGGATTGCTAGATCTTCAGAGGGATGGATGGCATCTCCATCCTGTTTACTGCAGGATCACCTATGGAGTATATAAATAGTTCACTTGACTCATGCCTCCCCACCTGAGCAGTGCTTCCCTCCAGATCTGCTCTAATCCTCAGTACTACTTGCAGCACAAATAACCTAAGAGTAACAGAACAAGTACCTTCTGAAATTTGAGTTTCTGATATGATTTTTCAGAACTACAGGTAAACTGGGACCTGAGGGAGTAGAAACATATTTAGCTAGTTGATGGTGGGCAGCCATTTGCTCAGCACAAGGCAGTATCATTAAATGTCCACTTATCACCCTGTTTTCTTTGCCACTACACAGTTCCACAGTTGCAGAGAACCCAAACTCTCCCCAGGCCATTATATCCCTTTCTGCTATATTGGACTAAGATAATGGCAGGCAGGATAGAAAGCTCTCACAAAGTGTCCAGCACCATCTGTTGAGTATTGAGATGGAATAATTTTTAGGGGGACCCCAAAATTTGGATGAATAGGACATGGGACTTCTTAGAAAGTCTTTGTGGGTAGATGTGAGGACTTTCCTCTGTACTAGAAATTCATCTCTAATCAGCACCAGAAAAAAATAAAACAGAGAAACAAAATCTTATTAAATGAAACACACACATTAAAAAAATTGTAATTAAACCTATAGTCATAAAATACAAATTCTGAATTCCAGTATAGACTTTTAAAAATTATGTAGGATTACTACGTAGCCCACTCCTCCTCACAATGCAAGACTGAATATACAAAAAAAAGTTCTGGTAGTGAATTTTCATCACAGTTTTAATCTTCTGGAAATGTTGCATTTTGACACCGTGGGCTGAAACAGAGAGAGAGAGTTCAGGTTACAGTTGGTTGGGATTTATTAGTTCAAAATACAAACTAAAGGTAACATGGAATGCATGAAGTTAACTTTCCAGTCTTACGTTCAAGGACTCTTTCCTATGTGGGTTCACTTGAGAACAGATGAAAGAAGTTGTAAAACACCACAAGACTGACATGAATCACATAATTCTGCATCATCCAATACTATGTAAAACAAAAGTCTGGGGTTTTTGAAACCTCATGACACTGAGGCATATTACACTAAAAATTTCAATTATTGCTGGTCTATTACACTAAGTTTTGCTTTCTAGAAACACAAAACTAATTAAAATATATGATGTAGATAAAAACAACTCTAATCATAGCTCTTCAACAAATGAGACGCAGATGTTTATGTGTTATTCTTGCATTTGTTTATGAAGGCAACACTGCTGGGTAAACATAGATGCCTGAACCTCTCTATACAAAACCCAGTCTGGAAAAGCTGCCAAAAAGACAAACCCAAACACTATATACTGTGTATACACACTTACCAGAGTGGCACTTTTCAGTGTTCAGAAAGATCTGATTTCAGCTAAACTTTCTGCTTTGAAGCATTTCTCTCTTTGTGAAAACCACAACAATGCAACTTTCAGAAAAAAAAAAAAGTAAATTTCATAATTTTTTCTACAACAAAGTAAAAAAGTAGCAGTTGCCCACAAAAAAAAGATG